TGGACTCCGTTTGTCCCAATTAACTTAAATGGTTTGAAGCCTATGGCCACAAATACATTGGCTTCTAAGGGAAGAATATGCTAGGCTTACATGTTTAAGGCATATCAAAATTAAATGCTAATCCATTTGAGATGATGTGTAGTATCCTAATTGGTTTTTACAGACTTATCTAAAATTACACATTGGACGCTGGAAGAGATACACTTGATATATTAAGTAGGCATTTCAGGCTCTTAAAGAATGAAAGTCAATATGAATTTTTGTTTGTTGATAAGAAGGTGAGGTATGTACGTACAAAGTAAAGAATTAGCTTCTTCCTGGAAACACATATTCTTTCTAAAATGAACTGTCAAAGAATTCAAGATTTACCTATGGCTTCCCCTTTATATGGAAGAGCATTGATTAGAAAAAGCTCTAGAAAAACTTGTTACTAGAAATCAAGGATTTTATTTACCTTAAGCGTGCATGCCCATAAGGAAAACCAGGAGATGCTCAATAGGCCGGATTCAATGCAAGCCCACCAGATTAAGGCTTAGGGTGGACTCATTGGCCAATTTCGATGGAAAAATTTGCTGGTCGAACACAGATGAACTTGTCAATAAGGATCCAAGAGAACTTGTTCAGCCAGGTTTAGACATCAACCCCCAACGAGAAGGCTGAAACATGTGTTGGCCATATAGAAGCATCGTCTTGAGGACAACTTCACTTCTACTTACATCAACCTCGATGGACCAATTGGGTTAGACATGTCGTTTATGACTATAGGCTAGTCAGTCCATATTACTGGGAGATCATACGATTTCTTCATTAACAGATTCACTTTCAAGTCTGTGTAAAGGCTATAATAAGTCTTCTGTACTTTTTACATTTTTTTTCTACTTGTATTTCTCATTTTGTAACTTTCTCTGTGGCACTTGAGATCCCAAATCCTTACCTATAAATAGGGAATCTTGGAGAGATTCCAGTGTTCGACTTTTTTGGGACCTCACTCTATCAATGTGTTTTCCTGGCACTTGAGATCCCAAATCCTTACCTATAAATAGGGAATCTTGGGGACAGTCCACTGTTCGAGGCAGCCATCAGCTTTTTTAACCAAAGAAAGCCTCTCAATGGTGTGGCGTAAGAGGCTTTGGCACTATTACCACCAAGGGCTACTACAGATGAAGTCCAAAAGGATGGCAATTGATCTTCCAGAGTTTGATGATAACATATCGACCTGTAAGACTTGTCAATTTGGAAAGCAAAACATAAAGGCATTTCCCAAGTCAGCATGGAGAGCCATCTATAAGCTGCAATTAGTCCACACAAATGTTTCTGGACCTCAGAGAACTCCCTCATTAGCAGGTAGTCGATATTATTTTTCTTTTATTGATGATTTCACTAGAACATGTTGGATTTTTTTCTTAAAATTCAAATCAGAAGTCGCTGGAGTATTCTTGAAGTTCAAGAAGATTGTGGAAAATCGATATGGCAACCAAATTTAAATATTGAGGTCTGATAATGGCAAGGAGTATTCCTCAGAAAATTTCAATGCATTTTGTGAAGAAGTTGGCATTGAACATCAGCCCCTTACACTCCACAACAAAATGGAGTTAGTGAAAGGAGAAACAAATACATCTTAGAAATGACTAGATGTATATTGCATGAGAAGAATCTACCCAAACAATTCTGGGCAGAGGCAGCTCATACTGCGGTTTTCTTGCAAAATAGACTGCCGACAAAAGCAGTCAAGGATCAGACACCTTATGAGGCTTGGTATGGTCATAAACCTTCTCTAAGTTTTCTCAAAGTGTTTGGTTGTTTGTGCTTAACTCATGTTCCACATATCAAGAGAGACAAGTTAGACAAAAGAGCACTTCCAGGCATCTTTATTGGCTATAACATTATTGTAAAAGCTTATAAAATTTTCCAACCACAAACTGGGAAAATTGTTATAAGCGGAGATGTTCATTTTGTGGAAGATGAAGAATGGAACTGGGATGATGCAAAGAAAAATGCCAAACTGTAGCAGATCTGCAGCTTAAGTTTCCTACTTCAAGCACGGATGAAGATGAAAATTGGCAGAATGAGTTGGTGGATGATGCTCCTGTAAGAGGTACTAGATTACTCACTGACATTTATGCAAGATGCAATATAGCCGTGTGTGAACATGCAGATTTTGAAGCAGCAATGAAAGACAAGAATTGGATGGCTGCAATGAAGGAGTTGTCCATGATTGAGAAAAACAAAACATGGGAGTTGGTTGATCGACCCCAAAATAGGAAGGTGATTGGAGTCAAATGGGTGTACAAAACCAAGCTTAATGTTGATGGCTCAATCAACAAGCATAAAGCAAGACTTGTGGTAAAAGGCTATGCTCAAGTTTTTGGTGTGGACTACTCAGACACCTTCGCACCAGTTGCTCGTTTGGACACCACAAGGCTTTTACTTGCTATAGTTGCTCAAATGAATTAGAGAGTGTATCAACTTGATGTAAAATCAGCATTTTTAAGTGGCATTTTGCAGGAAGAAATTTATTTTGAGCAGCCTAAAGGCTTTGTGAAGAAAGGAGAGGAGGACAAGGTGTTTCTTCTCAAGAAGGCTCTTTATGGGTTGAAACAAGCTCTAAGAGCTTGGTACAACAAGATATATGAGCATTTGTTGAGCTTAGGCTTTGAAAAAAGTCTGTCTGAGGCTACTCTTTATGTCAAACAGTAGAGTAATGATGTTTTGATAGTCTTTCTTTATGTTGATGATCTTTTGCTAACAGAAAATAATGTACGGCTGGTTGAGGACTTCAAACAAGAAATGATGAAGGTTTTTGAGATGACAGATCTTGGGTTGATGACCTTCTTTTTTCCTTGGAATGGAAATTAAGCAGACTGAGCATGAAGTCTTCATCTGGCAGAAGAAATATACTAAGGAGATTTTGAAAAAGTTCAAGCTTGAAGAATGCAAGGAAGCAAGCACTCCTATGAATCAAAAGGAGAAGCTGTGTAAGGAAGATGGAGCTGATAAAGTTGATTAGAGATATTTTAGAAGTTTGATTGGTTGCTTGATGTATCTTACAGTAACACGTCCTGATATTTTAAATGTTGTGAGTATCTTATCCAGGTTTATGCACTGGCACCTCAGGGCTGCCAAAAGAGTGATTTGATATGTCAAAGGTACAAGTGATTTTGGTGTTAAATTCACAAGAAGTAAGGAGTTCAAGCTGGTTGACTTCTCTGATAGTGACTGGGGAGGTTCCATTGATGGTATGAGGAGTATTTCAGGCTACTATTTTACTCTTGGATCTAGTATTTTCTCATGGAGCTCGAAGAAGCAAGAAACTGTAGCTCAATCCACTGCTGAAGCAGAATTTGTTGTTGCAACAGCTGCTGTCAATCAAGCTTTGTGGCTGAGGAAGATTTTAATGGATTTCAATCTGGAGCTGAAAGAAAGCACTGAGATATTTGTTGACAACAAAGCTACCATTTTCATTTCTCATAACCCTGTGTTCCATGGGAAAACTAAGCATTTCAACATCAAGTTATTTTTTTCTAAGAGAAGTGCAGAAAGAAGAATTTGTGACTCTAGTTTACTGCAAATTTGAAGATCAGTTGGCAGATTTGTTCACAAAGCCACTTCCAATCAGTAAGTTTGAGTTTCTAAGGCAGAAACTTGGTGTTCGTAGCTCCTAAAGCAAGGAGGAGTGTTGGAATACATGCTCAAGATTACTGAATGTGTCTAAGTTTGATTGAGTCAAGGTTGTTCCTTAATCTTAGGAGTTAGTTGTGGTATTCTTGATTCTGTTTCTTTTTTCTTCGCTGTTTTTTGGGACCATTTTGTTAGTAGTTTGTTATATTTCGAGCTTTAAAATTGTAATGCTTCACGTTAATAAAAGTGTGGGTTCTGATTTCCCTTCAATCTACAGCAATTTACTTTAGTTTTCTCTTCTTTCTCATTTCAAGAAACCAACAAATCCATCCCCTTAAGAATAAATGTCATCTTGGTTCACTTTTCTAATAGCTATTTTACTTCAATTTATCTCCTCCGCCTAACAGTACGTCATTGAGAGGGGCGATTCTTTCTAAGCCTCATCCTCGGCATCAAATGCTGGAATGACTTCCGATTCTACCCTTCAACATGAAGTGGATGTTCACGTTTATTTTAATTAGATGTCTGCATTTCAGATTATAGTTAATTCTTTGATATTGGAGTAAATATTCTGAACTAATGTTCTAGAAGTAATTTTTCTAAGGGACATTTATATGCATGCCACACAATTTCTATATATTTACATATCTAACACCAAAACTTTCATATTTATATGCATAACACTGAAATCTTTAATATCACATAAAAAATACCATTATTGCTCACATTTGAAAAGTAAAATAGACCTTTTCATCCATAGAACCTAAGTGTGTTTAAAAAGTAAATATAAAACTTTAAGCTTTAGATATGTAAATACAGAAGAATTATGTTGCATGTATGTAAATCTCCCTTTTCTAAACTAATGATTCAATATTCTCCCCTATAACTTAATAGTATAATGAATAAGTTTCATTCCACAAATTTTATCATATCCTAAATAGCTCCTTAGTTCTCAAAATTGATGCTTAAATATTTTTTTCAATTTATTGTACTTCTTATTTTTGGGCTTGATTTGAAGATTTATTGACAAAACCACTGTAATTTTTTCCATAAACTTTCAAAGCGCTTTAGATATACACACCTATTCAATTTATGACTATATTATTTCCTTAATCTCTCTCACACACAAACCGCGCATATTTAACTGATGGATATGTTTTTTCTTTGCTTACATTGATGATTTATCTTTATTGTTTTTGTTCTGGAGAACATATAATCTTAGCTAGCTATTGCATCTAAATGTTTTAAGTGCCATGGAAATCTACTTTTCTACTTTCATTTAACTGCTTTGTTTATTAAAGGTTTTTGTTTTCTGTTTCCTGTTAGGACAAAAAAGTGTATCTTTTGAATGTCTTTATTTTTTCATTCTGATTTATTTTCAGGTTGGTCAAGAACCTGGGGTGAAGAACACTTCGGAAATGGGTACGCCTGGTTTTTTGTCCATTTAACATAACACTTTATTATTAATAGCGTAGAGTGCTTGTTATTAAGCCATGAATAGTTTACTGAATGCAATATTTTTGTTGTACTCAACTGCTATTTATAAGCCGTATGGTTACAGCTGCTTGCTCTGGCTTGATGCATACTCTTATGTATTATAATTATATTTTTACCGATTTTCACTATTGATGTAATTCTTTAAATATTTATTATCATGATTATATCTCCTTTCCTGTTTATTTCATGATTAATAAAAACTGTCTTTATATATTTTTTCAAGTTTAATAAAATATTTAATCTTTATGCATCCATGGATGCCCCGAACCATATAAATTTGTTTCTTGTTTTTGAGATGGCTAGTGTTTATTCATTCATCTTCATTTGTCTTTTCCTCTTTAAGTTTTATCATTTTCCCAATAGTATTTAAGCTTTTTTGCATTAATTTTTGTGTACAGGTTCTATCCCTATTATTTTTTCCTACCTTATTTGATTTTGTAATCCTTCCACATTAATTTTTTTTCAGTCATCTTCTTGGTGCATAGAACATTCATTGTACATGTTCAACCTTCAACGGACTATTTTTAACTTCTTGGACTGTATTTTTTCATAGTTGACAAAAGAACTCTTAGTCTTCAAGGTTACTGGCATTCAATGTATTGTGCTAGAATTTAATCAATAAAATGCTGATATAATATGCCTGAGCTGTACTACTCCAACCTTAACCTTTTTTCTAAAGATGATATTGATTAAGTGGTGATTGAGTTTTTCAAGCTGGCTATTGGATGGAGGTAATCAAGTTTCCTTGTACAGTGTGATTGTACTTTGATGTTGTTGTTGTAATGTCCCTTTTCTGTAACCAGTGGAGATGAAACTAGAAAACTGAAGTGGAAGCGAGGAGTCGAGCAAATGAGAGAAGAATCGAGAGACTCGGATAGCCAAAGAAATTGGAGATAAATCGAACATTGAGGAAGTTGAAACGAGGGGATTGGAAGCCTAGCGACGAGTTCGCCTATAAAACAACACAGCTGAGGCAAGATTCACTTACGTGGGGGTCGAGCAACTTTGCGATGGGTGCACTGGCCAATCAAGGGAAAACAAGATAAAAGATGTTATCGTGACGCTATCAAGATTTGTGCGGGCATTCGATGCGAATGAAGAAGACGAGCCAAGCATGAGGAAGAAGTTGCATCGGAGGAAAAGAATGGAGTCAAGGCTTGGAGCTCTCGTGCGATGAAGGCAACGTGCGAATCCTGTGTGCAGAAGAGACAGAATCGCGTAGGCAAAGATTTGTGCATAGTAGGGCTCGATCGAGGTAATTTTAATAATATTTCTTTAATTGATTTAATAATAAAAATTAATAATATATATGTGTTTGTGTGTGTGTGTGTGTGTGTGTGTTGAATAGAAATCAAGCGAGTTTACGTAAAGTAAAACGTGTAAGGTAAAATATGAAAAAAATTTATGCATAACGTAAAGTAATAACTAATTAAAATAATAATTTAATTAAAGTTTGATACTATAAATATCATATTTATGTTATGTTTCTATTAGAGGAGTCAACGTTAAGACAAACCAATTAGCAAATTAAACGACATCGAGGTGAGTACTCATGTTCTTATACTATGGTAATATTTGTTTTTTTCTAAACCAAATGCATTTATTGATATTATCATTAGCTTTATTGAAATTACTCCAAACTTGGGATTTTGAATTCGAGTGATTTTTTTGTTCATATTGTAGGAATGACCTGTTAATTAGGTATATTCTTCTAATATGCTTGTATGTGCATTATTGACTTTAATGGAGTTACTCATTGATGGTACTAGTGGGAGAACATTAAGACACCCGTGTGCGTAAATCGGAAAGGATATTGATAGTGATTTGTCTTAATTGACATAATTTTTAGACAGTGTTTTTAAGACAGTTGTACAGATATAAAATAATATTGGCATGTTATTGATATAGTAAGATTTATAAATAGCGTTTCAAATGTTTATATTGATTTTTTAAGGACTTAACTGACATGCATATTATTTTTCTTTTCCCTTGCATTACTGTAGTTTAGGGATATGAGTATTCACTGACTTGTTTTGTTTATTGTTATTTAAACTAACTTTTTCGTGTTAATTTAATTGATTAAAAGATGGATGATAGAAGACAAAATGTTTATAGAACATTCGGATAACCAGGGACGAGGTAATTTTAAATTTAATATTTTAATTTAATTTAATTAATGGCTCTTTCATTTATTAAATATTAACTGAATATAGAAAATTTAATTCCCACTGTCAGACCGTCTATTCCCGTCTTAGTTAAATCCAAACTTCGGGCCAGATCGTGGCAGTTGGACGATTTCGAGATTCTCTTGATCGTTTGCCCCCATTGGCTCATTTATAAAGTTCTATACAAGAAATTATGAATACTATAATTTTAGAGGTTTTAAATGCAAAATTAAAGGGGGATATAGAAACTCAAAATTCTTATTTTATTCTCTCGTTTTCTCATTCTAACCACAGTTCTGCCACAACAGCTTCCCTCCCGCCTTCATTTCCTCATAAGAAGAAAAGGTGGCTAGAGCTCAATCAATCGAGTTAAGTACAGCTTAAACTAGCTGAAAAGGATGCTAAACTAACTAATTGATATAATTTGACAAAATTCAGCCCTTGCGGCTCTTTATAGGAATTTATTGTGAAGAATGATTAGAAAGCCAAAAGTAAATATGTCTGGAGTGAGGCTGACCATCATTAAGTTGAACTCTTCCATGTTATGCACACCCTTCATTATGAGAATTATTAATTTGTGCTGCCCTTAATCAAAGCATTGAATAAACATCATGGTAAAGCTAAAGGAGCCATATTAAGCATCTTTGAAATACTGATGTTTTAGGCTCTCTTTACCGGCATGACTATTTTCAATATTTAGCTTGTGGCAACGTTTGACTTGCTAGTTAGAGGAAATAAAATGAATGTTGCTTTGAAATCCTTCCTAATTGCTAGATTGGATACTAGTGCTTCATTATTTAGTTCACCTCATCGTCGTTGAATTTTAATTAATATTTCGGAATAATTAACGCAATTGATGTTTCAGGAAGGTGCACAAATACGGCAAGAGCACAACAGGAGAGAGCTGGGATATCGTGGTGGATGAAGAGACCTACTATGAGTAAGATTCTATTTATTGCATTGATTTCTTGTTGTTTCTGAAATTCTGAGCTTTTCATTCTTTAAAGGGGCGTTTACACTCACTCCACACAATTCCTATTTATTTACATATCTGCCACCCAAATCTTTCACATCACATTAAAAATTAATTCCACTATTTTAACTTTTAAAAAGTGAAATACACATTGTTCATGCATAGGTAAGGGGGCATATACATGTAAAAATTGAAGTTTAGATGTTACATTTGTAAATACATATGGATTGAGTGGTATGTATGTTTTTAATTACTCTGCTTCAATTTTTTTTTTTTTTTTTTTGGTTCTTCAGGTCAGAGCCTCATTATGGATGGGCAGATGTTGTGGGTGATTCAACTCAGTTGCTGTCCATAAAGCCTTTGGAAAGACCACCTGGAGTATTCCCTGATTTAAATTTTGGATCTTCTCCAAGGCCACCTGGTCCACCCCCCTCCAGTTCATAGCTAGGGTTTCTACAGAGGCCCTGCAGTTTTTCTTTCTCTTTTTTCTATTCTTTTTTGGTTTATTCCAATTTGTGATGAATGACTCATTTTGTCGTAGGGGCTTAGAAGAATTCTTTAATAAATTTCATTCATACGTTCATTAATTCTTTTGTAGATTTTGTTTATGCGGCACAAGTTGTGTCATACTTCTCTTTTGTTTTGGCTGCGACAAGTAAATGGATGAGAAAAGACGCCTTGTTAACCTCAATTCCTCCCTGAGGTCCTTAATATTTTCTAATGAAGAAATTTACATTAACACCACATGTTCCTTTGAATTTGCATATCTATACACTTAAAATTTGATGTTATATAAGCATTTTGGTGTCATGAATCTATGCACGGATTGGTGCTTTATTTTTGCAAAGTTAATAGAAGTAGTACTTCCTATGTGATATTAATGATTGTAGTGTTATAAATATAGATATAAAAGTTGAAGTATTAGATGTATAAATACATAAGAATTATGTGGTTTGTATGTAAATGCTTCTTTGTAATATTAAATTTTTACTATAATGCTAAGGTGGTAGAAATGAAATTATGAGAAAATTGTATGGTATATATGTAAGTTTACCATCATTAAGACGAAGTCAATTGCGAATTTTCTCGCCAAGATATCATTTTCAAGTTTGAAATGTAGAACAGAGGAAATGCCGTAGTCCCATCAATTTCTGTTCTTCCGCGCCCTGATTTTTCAACGCGCAAATATTGAAGTTGGAAAAGTGCTTTCTGCAGACGCCCGGTCGCCTCAGAGACGTAAGAAAGCAGTGTTCATGCTCAGGATTTGACCAGGTTTAGAAGGTCGTTGGAAACATAAGATGTAGGATTTGGTTTGATGAGTTTTTTTCGCTTTTATGGAAGTTATTTTAATAAACTTTTAAAAAATGATAGAATAAAATTGTTGTTAAAATTGATATTATCATTTAAATAGAAAATTATGTTTTCTTAACACCAAAAAATTTTATATTAGCAGTTTTTTATAAAATGTGAGGGTCCAATCTAGTTATGTTTGAATGAAGTAGAAATAGGTACAACTTAATGACAATAACAACTCGATCAACAACTAAATAGATATATAAGAGAAAAGCGATGCGAGCTCTATGAAGAAGAAAAAGCTCAAAGTAAGATCTTGTAATGGAAAAGAAGAAAAAGCTCAAAGTAAGATCTTGTAATGGAAATGCCGCCAAAGTGAGTAAAAGATCAACCGCAATAGCCAAGAACAATCACCAACAGATCCCAAAAGGAAGAATTTGACGCAAACTACTTCACCTAAGTGCACCTTGAACTGAGATTTGGATCCAAAGGAAAAACTAAGCCCAAGCATCAGCAAGAAGTAGGAGAACAAGCACTCGAAGCATCGATAATAAAAACCAATCATCAAGATAAAATATGCACAACCAGCCAAAGTCATAGAAAGAATCTCCCCAAAATAGGCAAGATCATACCAATCTGCAAAATAAAAACTCAAAACTGAACCACAAAGTAGAACATCAAGAAATTGAAAGGAACATAACCAAGTGGTCAACAATGAACCAAAAACACAATCCAAAATCAAAAGAATGATAAGAATCCAAACTAAGCAACATCGAGAAATATAAAAACACAACATCAAAGAGACGAATAGTTTGCACGACCAACAATAACCAACAAGAAATCATTCTATGGAAGACATAAAAGAGAGCTCAGAACTTACCTACAAATAAACATCAAAATTTCATCTAGATATTATGAATACTTATAATCAAAAGATTATAAATATTAAAAAAAAACACAGTTGAAGTTTAATAAATAGCTAGAAATCATCAAAACTCGAGCCAACCTCAGTATAAATAAAAAAGATCAAGAATAACAGATCTTGCCAGAGAAAAAGCAAACAAAACAACATAATAAAAAAACTTTAAAAAAAAAAACTAAATATAAGCCCATGGGTGGAAAAGCAAAACAAACTCCAAAAAAAAGAGCAATATCAAATAAGAAGCGATAATATGTCTAGGAATATTTCTTTTAAATGTTCATGTTCTACATTTGTAAATAATTATCCAATGAATATAACAAAAAATCAAATCCAAAGTAGACTTTATTTTAAGAAATTCTAGAATTTGGCTCATACCAAAAATAATAGGTCATAATATGTAAAGTCAAAAGATGAAATATTTTTTTGTAAGTTGCAAGAAATATCATCAGAATGATAAATAACTTGAAACATATTTGAGGAAGTAATAAAAAGGACATTCAAAAAATAGATGATTATGAGTATCAATGTCATTAGAACATAAAGCACAACATTATTAGCATTAAGCCCTCTCAAAATAAAAACATCATAAATTTTCAAGCCTTTATGAATCATTTTCCAAGCATGAAAAGCAAATTCAATAGAATAATCTTTAAACCAAATAAGTTTCAACCAATCAACGCTTTAGAAAGATTCATATAAATAGAAATAAATATACTTATGACAGTAAATATTATTATTAATCCAAAGACAAGAAATATCTTAATATATGCCGAAGCTAATAAGTTTTGAAATTTTACTAATCGATTGAAGAAGATCTCGTTGTTTTGATCCTTCTTCAACCTCAGAATCAGAGAAGAAGGTTTGCTTATCTGGACGCTGACATAAAAAATATCAATAGATAGATGATACCATTTTCAATTAAGAGTTGAGCCATAACTGATAATACATTTAGGAGATGAAATGAGAGGGGAGAAAAAGAAAAGATCCATGAAAACTCCCTCAAAATCCTAGAAGCTCCCAAGAATAGCCATGTCTGGACTTCATGCTCCTGTCGACATCACATGTATTATAACAAATATTAGTAAACATCAACGTTGATCATGTTATAATAATATCCAAAAATAATAAAATGTTGATAAATATCATAAGTTGGTGATTGGGCTATAACGGATATTAGTGGTAGTCATCAATGACCGTCGATGATTTCTGGCTTCGAGCTTTCATGGAGATTATGAATTTAGTTTTTTTTTTTTTTCTTTCGTGTGAAGAATGAAGGTCTATTTATAAATTTTTATAAAAAAAATTTAAGACATTTTGTTTACTCGATTGAATAGTTGGTGTCGAGTCTTTCAATCACCTGTCATTATTTAATACTTAAGTATCTAAACAACCACAAATTTAATTTGTCTTGAATTTATTAAATTTCTCGTGTGGAGATGTTTTATTCGATTTTAAGTATTAAATTTAGAGGTCATTTAATTAATGCATTAAAGCTTCTTGTTATATTTTAAGTGCTTAATCTGAACTAATTTGGGCTCAGAAAGCATCAATTTTAATGTCATTAGGGTCTTATTTTTAAAACTTTCAATTTAGTTATAAAACTACTGAAGTCAATGGTCAAATAATATTGAATGTTTTATCAAATGAACATTCTAGTAACAGGATAGTTATCTACTTATTTTTTGGATGTCAGTTTGTGTCGTTTGAATATATATATAT